TATGTTCTCTAGGCTCGTTCGAGGACGAACGAATGTTTAAGTGTAGGAGGATGTAACGACCCGGCCGGTCGTTTTTGGAATTTACGCCCCGATCTTCCATTAACTGCTTCCCCTAAGTTCATTTCTGCTATTTTGGTTTGACGGGACGTTCGGTGTTGGGATTTGGAGTGTTTTGGGACACTTAGTCCCTAAATGAGAGCTTAAGAGTTGAAAAATGGTCCGTAATCAGAACAGTGTGAAGACGACCTCGGAATAGAAATCCGATGGTTCCGTTAGCTTCGTTAGGTGATTTCGGGGTTGGGAGCGTGTTCGAAATGTATTTTGGAAGTCCGTAGCTCATTTAGGCTTGAAATGCCGAAGTTTGAATTTTTGAAGTTTCCGGTCCGATAGTGAGTTTTTGATCCGAGGGTCGGATTGGAATTCCAGAAGTTGCAGTAGATCCGTCATGTCATTTGGGATGTGTGTGCAAAATTTCAGGTCATTCGGGCGAGGTTTGGTTAGGTTTTTGATCGAAAGTGTGTTTTGTTGGAATTTGAAGTTCTTAGGCTTGAATCTTTGATTTAATCGGACTTCCGGTGTTGTTTTAGGTGTTTTAAGGATTGGTACAAGTTTGAATAAGGTATTAGGTGGTATTGGTGCTTTTGGTTGAGGTCCCGGGGGCCTCGGGATGATTTCGGATGGTCGACGGGAAGAAATTCTAAAGTGTGCAGCAGCAGATTTTGAGTCTTCTGGTATTTCCGCTTCTGCGGCTTGGGAACCGCAGAAGCGGAGCTGCAGAAGCGGCTTCTTCATCGCAGAAGCGATTCTAGGCATCTCCGCAGGAACCGCAGAAGCGGTCCCTTCCTCCGCATAAGCGGGACCGCAGAAGCGGGATTTGTACTGCAGAAGCGGAGTCTGGCCTTAAGTGAAAAACCGCAGAAGCGGCTCGTGGTCCGCAGAAGCGGTCCCTTGTCCGCAGAAGCGGAAACCCCTGGACAGAAATAGAGATGTCGAGGGTTTGAGTTCATAAGTTGCAAAAATCAATTGAGAGCTCGGTTCAAGGCGATTTTGAGTGGGATTTGAAGTGAAGATCACTGGGTAACGTTTCTTTGGTCCCTTCTTGTTATATTTCATCATTTTATAGTTAAATACACCATTGGAATTCGAATTTAGGATCAAAAATTGGAAGAAACTTCATAGACCTAATTATTGAGTTTTGAGTGGGCAATTGACCTCCAATTTGGGAGATTTTTATATGGTTAGACTCGTGAGGGTACGAGGGTTCTGAAAATGTGAAAATTATTCGATTCCGAGACGTTGGCTGGAGGGGCATTTTGGTCATTTTACCTATTTTTGCGCCCTAGCTGTAAATTTAATAGTGGAATCAGTTGTTTGCAATATTAATTACGATATGTAATTGAATTGAATAGATTTGGGCCATTCGGAGTCGGATACTCGTGGCAAAAGTGTGATTTCGAGTTGATTTTGGTGCCGATTCGAGGTAAGTGGCTTGTCTAACTTTGTGTGGGGGACCTTTTTCCCTTAGGATATGATCTTGAATATTTGAATGCCCCGTACGCGAGGTGACGAGCGCGTACTTGAGCTAATTGTTGTAAATCCGTTTCTACGTGAAGTATTTAAATTGAGCTTTCTTGTTTACTTGTTCATCTTAACTGTAAGTTTGTACCTGTGCTAGCTTAGAGACTCATGTTTAGCTGGCTTACCTGCTTATTTGCTTTAACTGTGCTATTTGTACTCCGTGAAGCATGTTAGGCTATAATTTACTACTTCCTGTCCTGATTTTTAGCATTGTTCCGAGATTTAGGAATCGTTGTTATTGTGTGTTTGTATTTGGGACTACGGGACGGCTTCCCGGGAGATCCCTCTGTACTTGAGATATTCTGGACTGAGGGTGCGGGATACCAAGAGATCCCTGGCACATGTGTTTCTATATATATATATATTGGGATACCAAGAGATCCACGGTTTACTTATTGAGGATACCAAGAGATCCTCGGGATACTAAGAGATCCCCGACTTACTTATTGAGGATACTAAGAGATCCTCGGGATACCGAGAGATCCCCAGTGTTGATGATGAGGATACCAAAAGATCCTCGGGATACCAAGAGATCCCCCGGCTACTATTCCTTGTGAGGGCAGTTTTCCGTGTATTGTTACCTTTGCTTTCTATTACTGTTCTTCCTTATTTACCTGGTTTAGATTCTCGCTGTAGACTTTATTTAAACTATTTCTATTATCTCATTATTTATTTTGTTACCTCAGTAGGGCCCTGACCTTCCTCGTCACTACCCAACCGAGGTTAGGCTTGGCACTTACTGAGTACCGCTATGGTGTACTCATGCCCTTCCTGCGCATGATTTTTTCATGTGCAGATCATCCAGGTACCTCTACTCAGGCGCACTATCAGTGAGGCAGGAAGACTAAGGAGACTTCGAGGTGGATCTGCTGCGTCCGTAGACCGACGAGTCTCCCTCTTACTCTATCTTTAGTACTTAGTTTTCCTTCTTTTGGTTGTTAGAAATTCTGGAGTTTGGAACCTTTACTATACACTTCTGTAGCCTGTGTTGCCCGTGAGTTTCCGGGTTTTGGGAATTGTTTTAGACTTGTGATATTGAGTTGTACTTGCCAAGCGGCATTCAGTACAGTTTTCTTTAGATACTTGATTTGATTCTCTCTATTTTTCCGCAATTACTATATTTCCGCAAATGTTAGGCTTACCTGGTCATGGGGACCAGGTGCCATCATGACATGTTCACGGTTGGTGAACTAGGGTCGTGACACGTGGGCCTTAATGAAAGAATCCGTGAGCATCTTAAACGAATCTGTGGAATGCTCGGGCAAGAGTGAATACCATGTTAGGGCTCCCTTTGTGAGGGTTTCCCCAAATTTCTTCAGTAAGACTGACTCAATCTCGTACGGAGCTAGATTGTTCCCCTTCATTGCCGTTGTATAGGTGGTTATGTGTTCCAGAGGATCTGAAGTCCCATCATATTTTGGCACGTCTGGCATTTTGAACCGCTTCGGGTCAACTCTGGTGTCGCGCTTAGTTTAAATGGCAATTGGGTATATTTCTTTGAACTCGATCCTTTCAACACTGGTGATGCGCCTGGAATCTAATCCATTCAGGCATTTATTTCCCTCATAAAGTGCATGAGTTCGATTTTAAAGGGATTATTCTCATTATTGTTACCGGATCCGCTACTGTTCCCTCCGGCCCTGTCAAAGCTGACTTCGCCCCTTGGGGTATTGTTTTCGACCCTTGTTGTTTGGTTTATGGGAGCACCAGAAGGAACTAGACCTCGTCCATTTGTGTTGTTGGAAGCACCCGACATCGCCTGCCTCAATTCCGTCATGACCTGATCCCGCCGTGAGTGATGGCCCATAATGGCCTTTTGCTGCTCCCTCAGGATCCTTACGGTTTCAACAATATGCTCGTCTTCAGCATCATCAGGAGTTGCTTCTCGAACATGTTGCGGATATTGCCTGCCATGAACCAATGTGGTCTCACCCCCTCGTTGCGGGTATCACTGATGGAATCTTCGTGCTGAGGCTGGTTTTTCTTGGCCTCATTGTTGTGTGTGACGTTGACATCGTTATCTGCCATTTTTTTGTGATTGTTTCTAAGAACAAAGAATCAAACAGGTTAGAAATAGATGCAAGGATCAACTCAATTACACAACTGTCTAAGACCCACACTGGGTGCCAAATTGTTTGCCGTAAAGCGGTACAGTTGAATTTATACGTAGTTCATAGACAAGTGAATCGATTTGATCCTAAAATGATAAATGAATTAAACAAGAAAGTAAGACTTAGCCTTGAAATCGAAATAAAACAGCAAAAATCTCCTTTCGGGGAGGGGAGCTTCCGGGGTCAGTAAGAACAATATTAATAATCAAGAGGATAAATAGTATTAAGCTTTTGAGCAAAGTATAGTATTAGCTTGTCAGAAAATTCGTCTCTTACAACGGTTGTAGAGTTCATTATTTATAGTTGCACTTAGGGAACAAGGTCCTAGGATCAAGCCCCTTTTTAATGACAATTATGAGGATCATTGAAGAATGTATAATGGTTGGCAGTGAATGTCATATTTTCTGGAACGGACCATTTGCTTAATGTTGTAGAATATTCTCTATTAAATGCTACCGGGTGGTAGGCATTTATTTCACCTTTATGTATACCATTCTCTCCGATAACAAACGAGGTCGTTACCTTCGGTCTTGACTGTCTTCTGTCTTCGGCTCCACGTGTCGCTTTATCATGCGAGCATTAAATATGAACATATTTTACCCTGTACAGATATGCTCTTAAATTAGATAACTCATACATAACAAATTACGTATTACTATTATTTATAACATTATAATGTCTCCATGACTACTTCCATAAATAATAGTAGCAATTTTTGTTCATTATTGCTCCCTCCGATCCATAATAAGTGACCAATTTGCTTTGGGCACTCCCATTAAGAAAATACTTATGGGTAAGGTTTTGACATCCTCCCCCTTAACCCCCCGGCGGGGGGCAGATGGAGTATTGACGAAGATGCTTGGGACTGAACACATCCCCCTTTACTTAGTAGGGCTTAGGAACGATGTTGTCAAATGATTGTTGAATATAGTTACTCACCTCACAGCCCAATTTTCTAAATTCTAGACAAAAATAGTTAGTATGACTAAATTAACCTTAATTAAATGTTGCAGCATAATTAATGTGAGAAGTAAAAGACTTTTTAGGGTACACGAGGGTAGTTTTGAAAAAACAAATTGAATTGTTTCTTGGTTATATAAATGAATACTTATTTTGGACCAAAATAAAAAAGCAAATTGGTAAGTTATTGTGGACCGGACGGAGTAGTAATAATACTACAATCATTATTGTAATTTTGTAAAATTAGTTCGTGGATGAAAGAAATGGTCCTCTAAACGGTCAAATTTCATAATTTCTCTACCTTAACAACATGAGAATGCGCGTAGATGAGTAGTCCACACCTGTTCTTTAATGCAAGCCGAAAAAAGAGTTCACTGATTTAATTAAACTCTTTTTTTCCTTTTCTGAAGAAAATCTAGCTGCCTTTCTCTCTCTAGAGGCAAAAATCCTCAGATGTTACTCTCTCTCTCTCTCTCTCTCTGTAAATCATTACATACACTTGGAGTGTATGTAAATACACCAAAAACCCTAGAGTAACTCTCCGATCGATCTCCATGGCCAGCGAACATGAAAGCCTCCGATTATTCAATTAACTGATTTCAGCTGATTTTTCTTCCATTTATTTTTGTGAAGTTTCATTGTTCGTGTTTGCTGGGATTGGTGTGTCGGTTGTTGAAGAAATGTATAAGAACCAGCTACAGGAGCTGGCACAGAGGAGCTGCTTCAACTTGCCGTCCTACACATGTATAAGAGAAGGTCCCGATCACGCGCCGCGGTTCAAGGCGACGGTGAACTTCAACGGCGAGATTTTCGAGAGTCCTAACTACTGCTCCACACTTCGTCAGGCCGAGCACTCCGCCGCTGAGGTTGCACTCAATGCACTCGCTAGTCGTGGTCCTTCTAACTCCCTCGCCGCTAGAATTCTCGTGAGTTAATTTTCAAATTTTAGGGTTTTTCCGTAAATGTTTATGTGTTGCATTTATGGTTTGTATTGGTTGAGTTTAGCTGTATAAGGAATGCTGATCTTCTATGGTAAGAGGTTGGGTAGAATGGTAAAAACGTCTTTTTGAGGTGAGGTAGCAGAAATGTTAATAAGCTTTAAGACTTTGCCATTATTAGCCTAAAAGTAAGCATTGATTGGTAACCTGGAAAACAGTGACTATCATGCCGTAACTGGTTAAATTATACTGATGGTGTAAAAAAAAAATTGTCAGTGCATATAATTGAATTCCTGAGTTATCTCCTCTTTTTTCTAGTTGAAGTTGTAGGAGAGCTGTGTGTAAGATATTTGGCTGTTGGATTCTCGGCTTCTTATATGGTTGTGAAATTGTGTCTAATGTAATTTGACGGAATTAAGTTTGTTTTGAATATGTATTTTTTTCCAGCAACTGTAAAGTCTGCCAAATTACTTGACTGTTGTGTGACTTGAAGTGTTGGACACTTCTTTTTGGAAGTTCTGGAACTATATGTACATAATGTGCATTTTAGAGTTAAATGTGGATATAGCTAGAACTTTTAAATTTATCAACGCACATTTTAGAATTTGACACATACAATGGCCTATCAATGTGTATCATGTATGACTGTCTGTTCTGTCTCCACTTTCTCCTGCCTAAGTTTACATCAATAGGTTTGGGATAAATCATTTTTAAGTTGTAATATTTTGATATTCTATGACTTGATGCTTCACTCAGGAGGGCTTCCTAGTGATTTCCTTATTATCAGTTATCCAAGATTCATTTCTATTGCTGGAAAGTCTCTCTTGCATATGTCAAACTTAAGCTTACCTTTAGCTTTAATTGTCATTTCAAACTTGAGCATATTTGATTTTTATCTTTAAGTTGGATGTTTAAAAGATTATAATTGAACTATAATAATATCATAATGATATATGATTTAGGCCTTTGAGACCGAAGTAACATGTGGACTTGGACGGGGAATGGACTCATATTTTGGGAAGTGTACACTCATATTAGGCGTCTCTTAATGTGGATTATACTCAGCACATTACAGATGATAGAGTAGGCATTTGCATTATTCTTTTAGGAGTAGAAACTGGGGAGTCAGAACAACAGAAGTGGGACTCTTCTAGTGGAAGTGGTGCAATCATAATGATAGAGTGTAAGTGAAACAATGAAATTGGTGGTTGAGTAGTTAATATCATTCACAATACTTCATATTGTTGAACTTTTGATAAGTGAAGTGGTCCTAGCTAAGTTGGGTACTGTAAAAACAACTGGTATCTTGTGTCTTTTGTGAAATAAGAGAAACATGGGAAGAGTTATTGTTCACTAATATAATGTATTGGTTTTCTCTTCTTTACTAGTTTCCCGGGCTCGGTCTAGCGGTAAGAGCGCTGCGAGTAATGTATGGGTTAGGTGCACGTTAAGCCATAGACAAAAGTCTGGTATTTAAGTGGAGAAAGTAGAGGGCCTGGCACATTGTCCACCGAGTTGCAAACCTTGCGCCCAAAAGAAGACTTATATTTTGCTTTGTATTGTTAAATCATCTTTGTTGAGAAATTTGTGGTTTGGTGAACTTAGTTCCTTTGTTTAGGGTTTAGTTCCTTAAGTTTTATCTCCATATCAAAAAAGAAGTTCCTTATGTTTTTATCTTAGAGCTAGACAGGTCTAAGTTTCCCAAACCGATATCTCTAAGAATTACTGCCATCATTAATTCTGTTCAATTTTTTTAAAAGAAAGTATGGATTTTTTCTCTTATTGTATTGGTGCATTTTTTAGGTATAGATCCTGTAATGTCATAGAGGAGATTAAAAACCCATTTGTGCACATGTATAATGCGGCCCATCGATGTCTTTGCAACGGAAACATCTATATATTGGTGTTTGTACTATATAGGGATATGTAAAATTCATCTAGTCATTGGAGATGTAGCTGCCAAGTATTGGCACAAATCTTTTTGCAGGCTCATACTTATGATTGGTTCTTTGCTTCAGTAGCAAAAAGAAAAAGAAAAACTAATGATTTGTTGTTTGCTTTCGTCATGCTTATTTTCTAATTCTGTTATCTACAATTTGCAGGATGAGACGGGGGTATATAAGAATCTGCTACAGGAAGTTTCACAAAGAGTAGGAGCATTATTGCCAACATATACAACCTTTAGGTCCGGTGTAGGACACCTTCCCATCTTTACCTGCACAGTAGAATTGGCAGGCGTCACATTTACGGGAGAGCCAGCTAAGAATAAGAAGCAAGCTGAAAAGAATGCAGCAATGGCAGCCTGGTCATCTCTGAAACTATGTATGTTATCTGAATACCTACTGAGCTAATTGATATTTGCTGGATAAAATTGTAACTTCGGAAATCTTATTTCTTTATGAAGAGAGACTCTAAAGTTGTATTTGGGCTTGTGCACCCCCCCCCCCCCCCACCCACCCAAAACCCCATATTTGTCTCTTTGGCCATTTCATGCTTGTGGAGGGATTAGCCTTCCGCTCTCTACCGTTCAACTCTTAGAATTAGAAATTTTTTCCATCTTTTGTCTTAACATATGTAGAGGGTATGTGTGACATATTTTGCTTGCGCATGATTATAGAACTAATCTCATCCCCAAACAAGTTGGGGTCGGCTTTATGAATCCTCACTGACCATGTTTCTCCATTTAAATTCATCTTAGCCCAACATAACTCAAAATATGATAAAAATAAAAAGTACTAGAAGTTCTCTATATATTCAATTAGCATAAAAATCTTAGATAGGGTTAAGCTCCTAGAAAGCATAAGTTCTAAAGTAAATGTACTAACATGACTAAAGATACATCCCCTACTAATTGATATTGCTTATATAGATCTTTTTCATTCGTTGTGCCCTATCTTTTGCTAAATCTGCATGGATTCCAAGAAATTGTAGTTTTTTCAAGACAACTTCCTTCGATATGATTTTAGGTCTATCTCATTCCTTTTTAGCACTTTCATTCTAAGTTGCTCGGACACGGGTGCGGATCTAGAAGTCGGATCCTTCGAGATGTAGATTCTAAGATTCGGGATATGGATCCTAGTACGGATACGGGTGCGGGGATCCGGCTAAAAATAATTCAAAAAATAAAAAATAAAACTATTTCTAGATTATGAGAAATTTTATGTAATACTTATGTATAGATTGTAAAGTATGAATTTGTTTTTTATTCTTAAGTTGTAGATAAGTAAAGGATTGATTTCCTAGATGAGGTATGCTATTCTCTTCAAATTTAATCCTAGTTTTGATTTTGATTTCGGCAATCAAGTTGTATCTCATCTCGAATTTTTTCATCCCTCGTGGTCACAGTACCCAAAATAGTTTGACCAGATCTGGTACGGATAACACCCACACCCATACTAGTATCGTGTCGACATGGGTGCGGCACCTAAACTACCGTGTCGGAGCAACTTAGCTTTCATTCTCCATGGTTTCATACTCGAGGACCGATGCATTGTGAGGTTAACACAGGACATACCAAATCATCTCAAGCACCTTCTCTCCTTTTATCTTCTATGTTTACTAGTTGCACCTTGTGGCAAATGTGATCATTTTTAATCATGTCTAATCTTGTATGACAAGTTGACAATCCCTACTAGTACGGCACTTACTGTATGTGCTGTAAATTTTACTATTGTACTGTTGGTTTCATGCAAGGGTATGTAATGAAACTTTGTTTGGTTTATTGAAACAAAATGGCTTGATTTTCTCGAGAGAGGTTCAGGGGCTTTTACTTCGATGATAGTGGAGTGCCTCTGCTGGAAGAACTGCAAGGAGAACCTCATTCTCAAAAAAACAAAAATTCAAGGAGCAGCTGAAGAGTAGACAGGGTGAAGAATTGTTGCAAAAGTAGGAGAAAAGGAGCAAGAATAAGGGATCACAAAAGAGTGTAGTTAGTGATTAGAACTAGCAAACAGATGAAATCAGTTGATTTCTATGGATGCTAAAGACATCTAATAGATGATGTTGACTGTCAGTTATGTTTACCTTTGGGAACATTGACCATAGGACAGCCTTCCTAACACATACAAATAGTTAGCTTGAGAAATAGAAAGAAAGATGGAAAGATTGATAGAGAAGACAAAGCCTGGAGAATAAGACTTTTTGGAGTCAACTGAAACTTTATTTGAGACTCTAACCACAGAAGCTGTATCAAACTTTTGGGAAGGAGAAGTGGAATCAAACTTGGAGCATGAGTTTTTACTTGAGGCTCATCTTGACTCTTAAAACTTGATGAGTTCTAAATATTACCCCTTCACAGCCCTTCCCACTAGAAAAGAAAAAACCAAAAAGAAAAAGAAACTGAGTTGCATTGACCAGCAGAAAATGAAACCTGCTGATTTGTCACTTTTCTTGTGCATGTACCATATCAAGCGTATTGGGACAGTTTTCCTTCCGTAGTATTAGTAGCATCCTTCTGATGAATATTATCGAATCTCCTCATGCTTTACTTGGATTATACTGCATTATGTGTATGGTAGTAAGAAATGGGCTATGGGCTATAAACCATATAAGGAGATCAAATATTCCACATCCCACCAGTGTGCGACAACTCAACACCCCCCTCCCCCGGCACGCCCAAGCCTGCCAACTGGAGTGACAACATAATATGGGGGCCCAACATCAGGTAAATCAAGAATTGAAATTGGTCTGGCGTTGATACCACGTTAAGAAAAGTAATATGGGCGCCCAAAAGCCATGAGGTGAAGATTGCCTAAGACCATATAAGTAGACCAAATATTTCACATTCTACCCATGTGGGACAACTTAACAGTAGTAATTGAACAGCAGCTGGTGAGGAGGGCAATGACTAGTGACGTGAAGACAGCTTCCCGGATGATAAACCATTAAACAGTCACAAGCACATAACCTCCTGCCTTTTGTTTATTTTCATCGCTTATCACGTAGCAGGTCCATATTTGTTTCACAAGCTCCACAGAGTGGCCCTTTACGAAAATGTGATCTCAAGTGCACACGCATGCATGTGTCTTGGTTTTGCCAGGCCATACTTGAAGGTTGAATTGTGAGGCAAGGCAGTCTGCATGCTTGTCTAAGTAATTGAAAGGATGAAAATAGTACATGCTATGAGACTTTTCTTGAGCTGGTTGACTCTCATACTGCCAATTCCTTGCAGCAATAATCTAGGAGTATTAACTTTTTCAACAGTATAATGATGTCAAGTGCAGTTTCAGTGTGATAGTCTAATGTTTGCTTCTATTGTGCTTACAAATGATTATTTGGTCAATTAGGCATGATTGTTTATTTTTGATGGTAGGGTTTACATAGAATGTTTTCACTGATGCACTTGGATATTTGTCTGAACATTTGTCTTTTCAGAGATATGGCATGAATTTTCAATTCTGATTTCTTGTTTTTGTTCCTTTTGGTTTTGTTCAGTATCACAATTGATATGCACTTTGATATGTGATAAAAAACTTTAGGTTTGACAAGCTTTTACTTTTTTTTCCATCCAGTGGCACAGCAGTCTGAAAGTTCAGTACCAGATAGAGGTAAAAATGATGAGCAAGAGCATGTAATTGTGGCACGTGCTCTGAGAAAGTATATTTTGAAGGCAAAACTGGCTAAAGTACCATTTCCAATTAAATTTCCAATACCTAATCCCAGACCATCAAGTATACAGCAGCTTCCATCTTCGACATCAAAAATCCTTCCCCTAATATGCCCAAGAACTGCTGCTCGCACTAGACCAATCAGTCCATTATGTGTAAAAACTGCTTCTCAAAGTCGACCTATTAGTACTACAGGAAGTAATACATCCTTGAGTCCAAGAACAGCACAAGCAATCAGTAGTATTATAAATGAAAGCTTTTCCATGGAGAGCCACAGTGTTCGAGCAGATAAGTTCCCTGCCGTTGGTGCAGCGCCATATATTCCTATCAGGCATTTTGGTCCACACCATAGAATGGCGCCTCCAGTGACAATAAGGAATGCAGTTCCTGTTTTCTCCGCACCACCACTTCCGCCACCATCTCAATCTCCAAGGGCAATGAGGCCACCAGGATTCGGAGTGGCACCACCTGTCTGTGTAAGACAGACAGTGCCAGTTTATGCTGCTCCCCCTACACGGTCAGAGGAACTACCGGTGTTAGATCCAGCACTTGAAGTAAGGAAACCCCCATTTTCTAGAACTGCACCTGTTCGAGTTGAGGAACAACTGGCTCTAAAGGAACCGGAAATTCAGGTGCATGATTCATCAATTAAAGTGGCTCCATCACCACAATGCCTCTCAGAGGTCCATGTTGAGGAGCGACCAGGCTCTCGAGTCCAACCAGCTCAGCTAGAGAAGCCAACTGATTTTAACATTTTACCAGTTCAAGTTGATCCAGTGGCTTCAAAGAACTCAGCAACGCCAACAGATGTGACTGGGATTGCAGCTGACAAGAAGCTGCAAGAGTCTGAAGAGATAGAGAAATTGGAACAGCTGAAGATCTGATGTGATCTCGGGAATGGGATGTTCTAAAATGCAGGAACGTTTGATGTAGGCTGTTGTACTGGTGCTTATCTTGTAAGTCTTTATGTAAGCTTAAAATTTTCAGTTCCTTTTACATTCTATTTAGAAGAGTCTCCTGTGGAATAGGTTTAGCTGCCTTTGCCCCCGGTTCTTGAGTTCAAAGCGCAGTTCACTGCCAGCAATCCTTGAAACTGTCTCTGGTTATTTGGAGAATGGATATGTAGTTATAATAGAAGTCAATATATGTAAGGTTCTTATCAGAAATTATTTAGTATGAGCAAGTAGTAAGTGTACTTCTCTATCAGATCTTTCCTAGGGTATGCAGGTGCCTACTGGTTAAAGTCTTAGCTTGTTGCTTCTGTGAAATAGTCTACCGATATAAAATGCAATATGCCTTTCTGCTTTTATCTTTTCCACTTTTTTATAGTGAACTAGCTTAGCTCTTTACTTTTCTTTTTCTCTTCCTCTTTTCATTCATTATGGTGACAATCTGTCATACATTCATTTTAAGTTCCACGAAGTAGGCCAACGCAGACTGACTGTGGCTCTAAAGGTGGATAGTTCTCCCATTAAATAATTATTCACCGAGGTCCATGCGGAAGAGTTATTAGTTAAGAAGTGGTAGACAAACTAAAGAATCTAGGTTTATGATTAGCCACCGATTGAATGCACACTGAAAAGTTCAAAAATGATTAGGCTGTTAAAGCACATCTTCTTGATTATTCTGTCTCTTTTTGAAAATCATTTAATTTTAGCCTACCATTTTATCTTTGATAACATGACTTATTGAGGCCCCTTGATGTCAAAGTTCATTCTTTTATAAGAAGAGAGAAAATAAAAAATTATCTTGGACTCTCATCTTCAATCATTTAAAATGATCATATTAGTACTTTGCATATATTTGACAAATATGTTAATTTTTATTTTTACTTTCTTAAACTCTGTGAAATCAAACGTCTTTACATAAAATAACTATTAATACTTAAATGTTGTTAGAAAATATTTTCTTCACTACAAGATTAATAACTATCACTTCAAGTGCGTGTCTACTCGACCGTAGATGCAACCGAGTACAAGTATATTTTTCTGGATGCTTTTAGCATTTAAACATAAAAAATGTGATATTTTAAAAGGTAATGTCTGAAGTTAAGTTGAAAAGGGGTATTTTTGAAATTAGAATTTATTTTTCGAAAAATGGAAACTCTTATATTTTTTGTTTGAAAAAGAATTGAATTTTTTTCACTTATTGAAAAAACAGGAAAAAGTTGTGATCAAATCCTTTTTTCCACACATCAGTTAGGTTTTATTATGTGAATTACATATATGCTTTCTGTTCTTTAAAATTCATTTCATTTAAATACTAAATGATTTAGCTTCTTAGGTCAAACTAAGATTTGTTTAAAATTAGAAGTGTACATATTTAACTTTTATTGGATCGAAATTCATAAAACAATTTAGACTATACTAAATTCAAGATATATTTTTTTCAAATAAATATTGTGGGATAATGTAATTGGATCAAATATTTAAATCCAATAAATATGAATTTAATAAAAAGTTCAAATTCATCGGGCTATTTCATTAGTTGAGGCTACAAATGATGAGACCGCTATATTAACTCTAGGTTTGAGTGTCATCTTATCCTAGAGGTCCAAATTTGTACCACGTGTGAAATGACATGGCATGCGGTCAATTGAATGAACTGATAGGGACATACTACATGACAAGTAACGTGGCATACCAAGTCAAACGAAATGACCAAGAAAATGGGTCACATGTACAAATGACATGTTCTGACCAATTAAGTGAAGCCTTGTTACTACTTCAATTTGAACGACCGACAACAAATCAAACAAAAACTTTGTCTTCGTCACAACTACTCTCTCCACCAATATAAATAGGAGTCCTCGACCAGGAGAGACACAAGAATATAAAACAAGTAGCAAGAGAGTGCTTTAAATATTCAAGCACTCAAGCTATTAAGTTTTAGTTCAAGATCAAACATCCATGTTTAAACGCAAGAATGAAGTACAACTCAAGATTCAATGATACGAGTTCAAATAATTTAGGCATGCTGGTTGAATTCAAGATCATCGTTCGATGCAACAATATAAACTCAAGATCAAGATGTCAAAACCCTTGAATTAAACTCAAGATCGTAATTCAAGATCAAGCCCAAAGGCATTTGAATTTATTTCTAAAGAGAAGAATAAGGGGAATTGTAGAGATTATGATATTTACTTTATTTGGACTTAAATACTATATTTGTTACTTTATTTTTCTCATTGTGTTTATTATTTAAGCATATAATTTATTGTTACAAACTTTTGGAAATGCCCGCTTGGACAATCTGTATCTCTCATCTCTTTTTTATTCAACCCTAAAAGTTATAGAATATCAAAATGGCTCTCAATGAGAATCAACGCCAAATCAACTTTCTCCATTCTGTTGATTCCAAGTTCTCTGTTGATGTGGAAAGCATCCTTGATATTACCATGGTTAGTTTTGGACCAGTTTCAAGGAATAAAACAAACTTGATGGGACAATAAGCACTCCAAGTGTTGTCCAAATTAGATTATTTTTAAATTAAAAAAGAAAAGTTGTTCATCCTCAAAAGATCATGATTCTGTGCCAGCACATTGGAAGAAGGAAGCAACACTGTTGAAATTGTTGAAAAGACTTTAGCTCGACTTAGCCTCTTTGGTTCCATAAATTCCAACATGCAGGAAGATGATGATATTTCGAGCACTAGATCTTATCCAATCACACTACATAACATTATCCAATCACACTACATAACATTATCCAATCAAGGATCAATGTGTGTGAGAATCCAAGTTATTCTCTATCGTCTGCAACAGTCATACATGCGATGATGACCAATACTTCATATGTGAAGGAATAACTTAGATGTTTGACAAGAGCAATTGAAGGCTTGAGCAAGTATGCAGATCAAGATGCATGCTCGAATTAACAAGTTGACAAACATGATGGAACATATTGAAAGAAGAATTCAACCATGTACCTAGGAAGCATCCAAAAGCATAAGAAAAAATTAACCTTCCTGCAAAATAAGTGATACCCACTAAGAAAATCAAAGTCTCTTCTGAATGGATGACTCCAACTGATCAGCCGGAGGACTTTATCAAGGATAAGTACTAGGTTGCTGCCAAATTCTCTCTTACATATGCAAAAACTAATACACTAGAAGGATTGATAGCTTGAAGATGCCATCGGTTATCAATCCCCCAAAATTTTAGTAGTTTAATATTAAAGAAAATCCCAAGCAGCGTGTAGCATACTTTGTCGAAATATGCTAAAATATATGGAGGTTACCTTGTCATGTAGTTTATTTATTTTCTTAAAGGGAATGTTTTTTATTAGTACATTGACCTTGAGTCTAGTTCCATTGATAGCTGAGAGCAATTATAGCAGGAATTCCTCAACCACTTCTACAACACAAGGTGTATCATAAGTATGAAGAACTCACAAACACGCATCAACGAAATGAAGAACCAGCTATTATCTTTATCAATCAAATGGAGGCATGAAAGTCTCAACTGCAAAGATAGAATTATCGAATTTTCTGACATAGATATGTAAACTCAAGGTATATGCATTAAGGTGTTCGCTACATCTTACAAGACATAAACCCAAAATTTTTAAAAAATTGCCACTCGTGCTTATAGGGGGTAGTAGGGCTTTGCGTACTTCATACTGGGGTGAGGCGGGGTTGGATTAGGGTTGATCTTAGATAGCTTGCAGTTTATGTTCCCACACTATCCTTGTTGTTTATCTTAGCCCCGGGCCTTGGATACTGGTTACTGTTATTGCATGTCATTTATCTTTTGGTTGTTATGCTTCTGTACTATTATGGTTTCTACTGGAGTTACTAATGAATTGTTTCCTTCTCTTTTTCTTTTTTCTGAGCCGAGGGTCTATCGGAAACAGCCTCTCTTCCCTATCGGGGTAGGAGTGAGGTCTGCGTACATATTACCCTCCTCAGACCCTACTTTGTGGGATTTTACTGGATAGTTGTTGTTGTTGCCACTCGTGCTTATCATATGGAGCTGAGCATGGTTTTCCCCGGAATAAAGGGCATCTATCTATGAACCTCACAAAGGTAAAGACAAGCAATAAGCCAAAAAAAAGGGGGCAAATTTGTGTCCAGATCTAAAGCAAATTAAAGAAGCTATATATGTCAACACTCACCCATGAGTATAAAAATAACTTCATTGTTATATAAGCCAAGTCGAAGTTGACTTTGAATAAGACACAAGAAAAGGGAATATTCAATCCTAGATTTGGATGTGCATGCAATATTTTATGAACTTCTTGAGCAAAAACTCATTGAGTTACTGAAGATAAAGCGGCTAAGTGAAACTATAGAAATGAAGGACACTGTAAATATCATTAGCTCATGGGTCACCCTATGAGAAGTGCTTTGTATTCAAAGACAAAGTAATAAAACTGGCATGTGAAAGAAAATCATATTTGAAGTCGAGAAAACAAGTGTGAACCAAATCTCTATCAACTTTGAAAATATTCTTGATCAATTGAGATATGCAAGTTTGAAGAACATGAAAATGAAGGATTACTATAGGAAAACAAATTTGAAGTTGATCAACTTGATGATGAAGGATAGATACAAGTGATTCAAAAGACACTGCAAAATAAGTCTGCAAAAAGAATCAGCTAAACAACCAACTAGAAAAAAGAATATGAGAAGACCAAAGAGGCAAAAAGGCAATTAAGTATCTATAGCGAAAAAAATATGTAAGTGCAACACCACCATAAGCCACAATGTCAGTTAATTAGAGGAATTCTTACCGAACTAGTTCTACACGAAGATTGCTTGAAATGACATCAAGGCTTCATGCTGTAATAGTGGTGAAGAAGAATCAAAATGAAAGCATGTCATCATCGATCACCACCATCTAGTAAGCTTATTGAGTCCCTTCCGAAGAAGTAGATGCTTGTTATATAAAAGTTACATTCACTAATGATAATTCCTACTTGGTAAACGCTGCATAATTTGTGTGGTTGAAAGTAGTCAACCGACTTCTTCACTCAAGCAGCACTCAAACGAAAGAATAAGCAAGAGGAAGGAGTGAGTTGTCCATACCAAGTGTATCGATTCTCCCCGGCCTCTTCTCTTTTTAGTGGGTGAGGAGCAATTTTTCTTTGTTTATGGTGAGTTATGTGCTCGAGCAAAATATGTTAAATATAATTTTAATTGATGGCAGAAATGAGATTAAAGTTTTTTCTATTATCATAATAAAGGAACTTGGCATCTCAATTGCATAACTTTTTGAAAGCCGCATAATAATTCAAGATTCAACCAAGGGAAGCAAAGGACTAAAGGTACCATAAAAGTGGACATTGCCATCTGAGACATTGCTTCAAG